ACCGCAAGCCAAAAAAGTTGTCCAAGGGCATCATAAACACTTATTTATAGATCGGCAGTCTTAGAAATTTATGTTTTATTAATATATTATGTCAACATAACATAATGACATCCCCCCCCCCACTATTGTAGACATTTGACCCCCTACATCTTAAAAACGCCCCCTCAAACGCCTGATCACCACCCAGATTCGGAATCTACGCAAAAAACTGGTCTAGAAAAACTTGGTCTCATAAATTCACAGCTCGGGTGGCGATTCCCCCCCTTCAGCCACCGGACTATAAGCTACGCTACGCAGAGTGATATGACGGATATTTTCTATGGACATTGGCATTTCTTCATCGAATTCCAAATGTGAAGGGTTCTTTAATGCACACGCCAATGTGTACACAGGGGCTTGTGTTTTTGTCCCATCTACACAACTAGACACTACCCTTTGCAAGAAAGTTCGTCCTGCACTACCGACAGGGGGAACCACGCTGCAAAATACCGGGGAACTTTCTTGATCAGCACCTAGGATCATTGTAAATAATCATACAAGACATGTATATTGAGAGGAAGATGGCCGACATCACGATATTTTAACCCGACATTACATTTTAAATGTCGTGGTCACAGGCACTTGAAGGGATTAAAATAAAACTTCTTACTACTGCTTGACTATATATTATAGTATAGTAGTAAAACGTTTTATTTTAATCCCTTCAACTGCCTGTGGTCGTGGTGTCGGGTAAAATGTCGTATTGCCGGGATAACATGTCGTGAAGTCGGGTTCGAACCCTGCATTGGTCGAGGAAGTTCACCGGAATCTTTCGACGTGGTTTCCCCTGTCAGTGGTGCAGTAACAGTGGAGCTGGATCGTGGTAATGTTTAGATATACTGTAAGTACATGTATTAGTAACCAACAAGCAGTTTCTTTAGAAGTTAAATTTAATAAAGTGTTGTTTTTTTTTTTTGGGGGGGGGGGTGTTGTTTATTTTTGGGGGGTGGGGGCAAAATGTATAAATAAAATTACCTAAGATGCTCAGACAGAAGAATAAAAAGCCAAAAGAACATGACCCCTATTATATACACCCCAATTACCACTCAAATCAGTTGTTAACCTTTCAAGTTGTCTGTTTTTTCTTTTAATTATGTTTTGTTTGCCACGAATAAGTGATGTTCGCCGTGAAAAACAAATACTCTAACGGTTGGCCTACATTTAGATTTCTTTTTTGTTGATTATAGCAACGCCGTTTTCAGATCAGGTTATCACAAACTATCGCAAGTAACAGTACAAATAAATTACAGAGTTTACTTTATAAGGAAGAAAAAAGCCTACTTGTCACAGTTAATGGCGACTGTTGGTTTGATGGTGTCGTGTTGGTGAAACTTTAGTTCGTTTGTTTTCTGGGTTGAATAGTAGATAGGCCTACTATTAGTTCACGTATTTGTCTAGTAAGAATTTACGGTCACTTTATTCGACTTGATGAATGCTAGATGCTATGAAAGGATAGCTCATTTTCTTGATTTTAATAAATCAAAGACAAAAGAATTTGAAGACTGGGATTTTAGGTAATCACCGACTAGCTGCAATAGTTGTAAAATGATCGCAAAGCTTTCTCAAAGGAATTCCTTAGAACAAAATGTAATGAAATGGGGTTTAACTTCCTACTGTTCTGCTCCGAAGCACGACGTGAGACGTCATCAGTGGAACTATTTCAAATCACCAACAAGATTAGATCGGTGTTTTTTGTCATTACAAACATGGAATAGATATGCACATTTTACACAATACGCAGATTGATGTTTCTTTGTCGGCAACTTTTTTAGAATGTGTTACAAGCTTTTGACAAGAGAAGAAATCGCTCTTTCGATTGTTGCCGGTGATTAAATATTTTGTATAGGACCTGGTATTTTGCGGTATAAGAAACTTTTAACATTTCTATATCCCCTAGAAAAATATATTTTAAAAAATATCCTTTATTTCCAAAACCTACTGGAGTTCTCTAAAAGCTATAACGGTCTTATTTAAAACATTGTTTGTCCTGTATCACCAAATGAAAACTTCCAATAAAAAAGAAAATCGCCCCTCCCCACATCTAAACCAACCTGCTTCAGCGGCATATTAAAGATAATATTCATAGGGTAGTTATTTCAATAAAAGTATGGTAAATTTAGTATACGGATAGTAGAGACACCCAATATTGATAGAAAAATACTGGATTCCACAGGACAAAAATGTCAAAGGATCACTATATAACTGCTAGAATGACATAGGTAGCACTTGGTTTTGTTGATTGAATGGGTAGCGAGAGATAGAGAAATGGGGTTTAATGTCCACTCGACACAAACTAGGTCATTTCGGGGCTAACATATGGTTCAATTTTCAATGATTCGCTTGCGCGCAGGAGTCTTTGCCAGTGGGGGGGGGGGGAGAAATCCTTGAGGTTGACAGGCGACCCTACTCCGTGTTACGTACAACCGGAGAATCGCAACAGACTTTATGATACAGCGAGCACACGCTAACCATTCGGCCACCCCACCCCACCCCTGTCCCCTCGGAATGGGTAGCGAATGTGATAACAGTGGGAGGCTTAAACAAACTGCACATGGCACAACAGATATTGGCTGAGGATAATCCAAGAAGTTACTTGGGCTTCAATATTTATAGTAAATGGACCTACAAATTATACAAGATGAAAATCCCCTAGTTCAAGCCACGATAAAGTCACGTGACAAACAAGGCTGCTTGAAATTATTTTTTTACAATCTGGGGTAGTTTTCTTCCAGTCAGTGGCGGCGCCAGGGGGGTGGCAGGGGGGCATCCCATTAATCTGGTCTGCCCTCTGTTTGCCCCCCCCCCCCCAATAATTTTAGAAAATAAAAAAAGTATTTGTGATACGTTTCGGTAATCAATACCTTCTACGGTGAATAAATCCCACATCCCCACTCAGTCGTAAACTTGCATGTTGTAGAGCATTTCCGACAGTCTATTTTTCAAAATTTTCTTGGCGAGGTCCCCAATGGATTCGCTACTTTGGCGCTAACAAGGGGAATTCGTTGAGGTTCGTTTGACATTTTGTTCTCTAGTCGGATAAACTAGTGATCAGGCGACGGACGGTATCTGGGCAGATCTATTTATCTCTACGATCGGTGCCTGGGAATACTGTAAGACAGCATTTCCGGCAGTCTATTTTTAAAAAATTTCTGGGGAAGGACTCCCTACTTTGATGCTCTTGAGTGGGCTTCGTCGTGATTCGCAAGTACGTTCGTTTGACACTTTACCTCATCGATCAGTGCCTGAAATACTGCCAGGCTGCATTTCCGGCAACCTGTTTTTCAAAATTTTCTGGGGGAGGCCCCCTACCCCTAGTTGAAGCTCGTGCCTTTGCCCCCTTAACCTTGGACTTTGCCCCAGCTTTACCCCTCCAATCACCGGCGGCTGGCGCCGCCACTGCTTCCAGTTAAGATGTTTTGAGAGGAATCTGAAGCAAACTCTTGATAGATAAATTAGTTTTTAGTCCAGATGAAATCACACAGTTGTTTATTCTGAAAGACATCTCACGAGCTGAATTAATGATATGTTACACAAGACAAGTCATCCTTTTAAAAAATTAAGACGAACCATTGGGGAATACCTTGACACTATTACATAGCTATGAACAGGACACTAGACTATTAAATATTTAGATTACATGAACATGCATTTGCAATTTTAAGCCATTTGACATTTTCACCACCCCTGTGTTATTTATATAAACTTAAATGTGTTTTTGTAGGTATTCTTTTAGTTGCCATTAAGCCATTTTATCCAAACTATCACAAATACAAGAAATTGACATGGTGGCATGTAAATCTGATCAACAAGTTCTGGTATATTTATTAAACCTGTTTACTTGTAAATATCAAATAAGACAATGCACACACTTATTGCCTCATTCAGTTTATGCAACTTGAAATATTACTAATTGAATCCAGCACGGACCTTATTCTGGCAGATGTTGCAAATTAAATGAAAACTGTGCTGTGTCCCCACCACCAATCTAAAGATTAGTTTCAAAATTCTAGAAATTTCTATTTTCAGTAATCAGAGTTGATTCAAACCTGCAGAAGTAGTAAGAAAATTTCCAAATTAGTCTTGGTCTTGTTGGGAAACAAGTCATGCAAAGCCCACAAGCAAGGTCCCGTGTACACATTGGCGTGCATGTAAAAGATCCCTTGAAAGTTGGAATTCGATATAAGAGTAGGCTGTAGTGCCGCTGTCCGGGCAAAATTTCACTCATAGCACACTGTATGGCGTATGCCCGTCTTCATTAGCCCAGTTCGGAGTAGGACATTAAACCCCATTTCATTTCAAATTAACCTACTAACCAGTGAGATGATTTTAAACTGTTAAAACTAGTACTTCGTGAGTTCAGATTAATCCTACTAACTAGTAAGATGCTTATACACGCTGAATACAGATTAATCTACTAACCAGTGAGGTCAGATTAATCTACTAACTTGTACTCAGTGAGTTCAGATTATCATCTACTAACCAATAACATGATTTTAAACTGTTGAACTAGTACTTCTTAACATAATATATCATATCTTAAATTTTCATCTAAATCGGGCACGCATTATGGTCTCTCTAGAGGATAACGAAACTTGATATATATTTCACAGTTTGCGTTAAAGGCAGGGGAGAGGTTGCTATGGACAGCTTTCCACCAAAATCAAACACATTCAAGATCTTTTGAATATAAACATACCTTGAGTTTCCAAAAACGAACTCATCCCAGATGTTTGGGATATAAACATATTTTTAATTGTATCTAAAAGTGAACAAATGGACAGACATGAGATACAACAGATATAAACATATCTTGAGTCTCGTCAAAATCGAACTCATCCCAGATGTTTGGGATATAAATGTATATTTTTAATTGCATCTAAAAGTGAACAAACAGACAGACATGAGATACAACATTATACTTCCACATGAAAATGTAGGCATACAAAAAATATAATTGCAGATTTATTTATAAACTTTTATTAAATCATTATCATTTATATGTATCTGTACAATACTATCTCTAATTATAGAAAAATAAATTGAAGAAGGTCCTTATCTTAACATATGTAAATAATAGAATATGGCAGTAAACCCGAGACAATAAAACAATATATAAAATATGATCCAAATATCATAAAATAATACATTTAATATTTCATTTGGTAAAATCACTTTACTGGTATGTAGTTACCATATGGATATGATCAACATATCATTAATGTGAGTTTCAATGATTCAAGGTGATATTTAATATTATCCAGCATAACTTTCTCAAAAAAACTTATTATTTTAACCAGTACTGGAAGATATTGATTAGCAGGTCATTTTTGTTTTATATTTTTATAAGAATTTACTGTATATGATATCAAATAGTAATTAGATAATTGACTATTTACAATACATATTGTATATAGATTTATATAGATGATTTCTTTAATAAAATATATATCAACAACTATTCTAATAATCAAAACAAATGCATACACCTGTCCTATAAACCCTACTACTATATAAATATATGTTTTAAATTATATACTGTATAGAAAACTTGGCAGTTTGAAATAACTTTGATTTGATAGAGATTAATGCCAATTTTATTATTTAAATATTCTAAGTAATTATTAAATAGATATAGTTTCTGAATTCATATAGCTACTGTTATCAACTAGTATATTCATCTGTCCTCGATTAATTAGTCTTTGTGTCATGAAGTAACAAATATTCATGTGTCATGAAGTAACAAATATTCATGTGTCATAAACTAATAAATTTCCATGTGTTTAATCTAATATTCACATTTTATGAACTAATAAATATAAATAAATTTAACCATAATAAACTAATATATTCATCTGTCCTGGATTAATTAGTATTTGTGTCATGATGTGACAAATATTCATCTTTCATGAACTAATTAATATCCACCTAATATTCACATTTTCTGAGCTAATAAATATAAATAAATTTATCTGTAATATACTAAAACTTCATCTGTCAGTATCCTTCAATATCATGTTTTAAATTAGTAAATTAATGTCATGAGTAATGAAGTAGTTTGGTCATGGACTAATATATTTTAAATGCTATGAATATTAATTGGCATTCCTTGATCTACTAAACTTTATAATACCAGTACAAAACTACATGTATAAAATAAAACTGGATCTTGTTAATAAATTGTACAAAAGCAAACAATCTATGAAACCACGAAATATCTCTTCTGTCTATTCAATGTGACACCCTAATATTTATTAAATAAATATAGCTTTTGAAAACATGGATTTCTAATTTCCTACAGCAGTGAAATGATCTTTAAATTTTGAAATTCAATAGAGTTCTTTCTTATGCCCCAATGAACAATGTCCCCAAGTTTTAAAAATTTCCATGTGAATGGAAAGATAACTCCACAAGTGTGTTTGAAATTTACAATGCGAAATTTGCAAATTTGATTGGTTCCTCACAGAGTTTCAAAAATTATATCGCGTTTGTTAGATTTCAAAAATTTGAAAGTAAGCCTTAAACATGCATTATGCAAGAGCTAAATCTGATTATTGAAAGTCTTAATTTAGGCTTCAGATGTTATAGAAATTATAAATAAGATCTTTATTTAAACAACAAGACCAAAATCAACTCTGTAGACCCACGGATGGCTCGGTTACAGCTCGGATTTAAATAGGATTTCACTAATTGATTAAATCAGATAAGGGTAATCTGATGAAAATACGTCAGTTAGATCGAGGCTAAATGATAGAGTGTACTTAGCGAGGCCGCTGTAAAGCGTTTCCGTATGCCATTGAAAACTTTACTTGATAATCGAGATATGTAGGTGGAGTTAACGCCTGTCAATCAAACGTTCGGCGAAGGTGAAGACACATTTCGCTACCATTTCTAGGCAAATATTACAACGACGATAACTATGTTCAGAATAAAGTAATTTGACTGAATTTTTCAATATATTCTTCTTTCATCATCTACTTTTGACCTGTTATAGCAAGAATGGCCAACTCTCTATAAATATCTCCCATATTGTATCTTTAAATATGTGATTCAAAAATTATGAAATTTACAGATCTCTTCCTTAAACCCTAATAAACAATCCCATAGAGACTCTTGGAATTTATTACAACCAAATCCAAATCAATTGGATGGATATACCTCATATTTTATAACTGGACTGGTAGACACCTAAATCTACATGTAGCTGATTTTGATCTTTCAAAATTTCACATACATGTACATCCATTTAAAATTTCTATGTTCACTGGCTATTTTCTCCATTGTTAATTGCTTTGCAGACAAAAGACTATTTTAGGGGATCTTTTATGCTAAAAATTATCTTAAAGGGATACACCTATAATAATAGTTTATCAATTGCTTTAAAACTTGCTAATTACAGAGAGAGAGAGAGAGAAATGGGGTTTAACGTCCACTCGACACAAACTAGGTCATTTCGGGACTAACGTATGGTTTAATTTTATTTACATAATTCGCTTGCGCGTAGGGTTCTTTAGCAGTGGGAGGAAACCAGATTGCTAATTACAACAATTATATTAATTACAATGTACAATAAATACACCCACATTATTTAAACTTAAATATTACATAGCCATTTTATCTCAAAAGTTTATATTATTATATTAGTACTTAAATATATTTACTGGCACGAATCTGGCACAGGCTAAAACCCCAAAATATCATAGATTCAAAAATAAGAATATAATTTGACTGACCAATAATATACATTAACAATTTTGTGACCACAAATATTTTAATGGTCTATATCGAGCTTAAAATAATGAGATAAAAGTTGTGAGAGATAATATAATATTAATACGACTATCAACATTTGCTGTAATATAACTAAACGAAATAAAGTTATGATAGTCAAATTTTTTTTTAAGTATTACATTTAATTTGGTGTAAAAGAAGAAACAAAAATATATGTTTGACGCATTTTACTTCATGTTACATATCTTAACAGACAGTTTACAAAATCAACAAGGATTTTTTGAGTTTACATCCATCCCGTTTTAAGTGTAATGATGAACATATAGTGGACGATACATTAAGAACTATTAACAGAAAGTAACAGACACAAATCACACAAACTAAACTTTTATCATCCATTGTTTGTAACAGGACTATAACAATTGTGCAGTTGATAAAAAATGATTAAGAACTATAAACAGAAAGTAACAGATAGGACTATGACGTCTATAACAAAATATATTATATTAATAATGAATGCTAAATTGACGTTTCGGCCACAGATGTTAAACAGGAGGATTTAACTGATGCTGTTAGGAGTTAACCAGTTACTCTCAGGATTAGGGTTGAAAGCTCTGTGGCCGAAACCTACATTTCAGCATAAGATGCTAAACAATAAAACACAATTTTAAAAGCGAAATTATCATGTGCCCAAGTCTATGTTGTGAAACCAATAAAATAATTTGCATGAACTTTGTAGCAGTTTGATAAATTATAAAAATATATTCTGTGGATAAAACTAATCTTTTTATGTAAAATATAGAATTATTTCTCATTCAATCTCCAAAACATGAAAACATAACAAAAACATTCAAACTTCACTGTTACATAATTGTATAAAATGTAATTAACTGAATGATCGTAGGCATTGCATATGTTAAAATGAATACATAGGGATTTTCTGACATGCAACCAAGATGAAAAATATCATTAACAACAATCAATCTCAAGGTTTGATTGGCTTTTAATGATCCGTAGCCAATCAGACACAGGGCTCTATAAAAGTTGAGTGTGCCTGCGCACACACTTGAAAATGTACCTGCAGGGTCATACTGAAAGACAGGGATGTAGCCATGATTTGGTGAGTGGTGTATAAATATATCTGGGGAGCGGAGCGAGTCAAAAAAATTTTTGGGAGGGGGGCGTGGTCTTTTATGAAAATTAAACCCTTCTTGGTGTATTTTCAGAGCATCTGCTGCCTTTTGTATTTGGTTCAGTGGAAATCAAATTTCCATTTATATATTCAAATTTTACCAAATTCACTTAATTTTCATCAATGATACAGGGATCTAAAAACTTTTTGACACCACCCGACCGAGCATAAAATTGTCCCGCCCCACTCTGTTTCTCTGGATAGTTGAGGACCTTTAGGTATTTGTTGTTTTGTTGGGTTGTTTTTTTTCAAATATTACTTTATTACTTTGAGATTAAAAATTAAAACGATTCTTAAAACGGTGTTTGTGTTTTATTTGAGTACAACGAATTATGACAACAGGTAGATATTGATAATTAAAACACGCTGTATTATTTGACTTGTTTGTAAACTTGTTGTACGTGTCTCACAAATATTATTATTATTACGGTGGAATGAAAATCAGGTCAGGCAGAAACTGAGAAAGCTCTCATCGTCCTCCTAGTCCTACTCTCGGGCCGTAGCAAATCCACGGTCAACACAGGTAAGAAATAAAATAAGAAACATCATGAAAATTTGCAGGCACGTGTTGGACAATTACGACATTCAAACCTGTAACATTGGAGTGCCGTAAATTGATCTGGGTGACCTATTTACGGCAAATAAACAAATATTATAAAGACCGTAGAATAATTGTAAAATGAATATACCTAGGCCTACACATCTTCTAAGTATAAATAAACAAAATACCAATACATCTTTCTTTAAACTAATTTGGGATGATAGGGTCTACTACGGCACACAAAAATAAATTATGCCGTGACAGACATGGTTTGCGTACGTCGGCTTTTACTTTTACCATGGCTTTGCCGTTTAATTGCCGTGGTAAATTTCGAGCGTCGAGTTTGTGTACAGAGAAGGACGAAGGGGTTTAAATACGACTGGGCGACTTTCTTCGATTTTTTCTTTGTGCTGGGCGGCAAAAAATAGTGCCGGGCGCAGGCGCCGCCCGGCGTGGCTACATCTTTAAAAATGTGCCTGCAAAATTTTTTTTAAAGCAAATGTGCCTGCGCACGCCGTGCGCATGTGCGCGGAAATATCGATGCCTGATCAGACAGAGTTTCAAAGGCCTACGATGTCAAGACACTCATAGCAGCTCCTAGGCTTGCAGAAAGGAAATTCAATCAGAATGTTATTTTTTAGTGCTTTACATAACTTTATAGCAGAAAGGCAGATATTGCTTTATAGTTGTACTATAATGAAATAAGCTTCAGGTAATGAGAAGTATCATATTATTACATTGTTTGCTGTTTTTCTGTAGCTTCTAACATAGTTTTAAACTTGGAATCTGGTCTTGACATTAGAACAGACGGCTTGTCATACTCAGCCACCTGTAAATCAAAATAATTCATCAATTTACATATTTGAAACATGTAATGTCTTTCATTAAAGCCACAGATCATCTTTTTGTATTTTTCAGACAATATTTAATTTTATATAGCTTAATTACTCCACAGTAAAATATACTCAAATCAATTATGTAACATTTAATTAAAGATGCATTATGTAAGAGCTAAATCTGTCTATTGCATGTCTTTCTTTTGGCCTCAAATGCAATATAAATTACTATACATTTATTAACATGACAAGACCATAATCTACTCTCTAGACCATCAAATGCTTGTACTTTTCAATGGATTAAAACAAGATCGTCGTTTAATAATCTAACAAACCAAAAAATTCACAATCGAACTATGTCAAGAATGAGGTAATTTGCCTGCAATTTTCAATATATTCATTTTTCATTATCTATTACAGCAAGAGCATGCAGCTCTTTATATAAATCTTACATAATGCATCAAAATAGATAATGTGGCTAGGATGCAATGCCGCAATGGAAATTAAAAGAAGCAAGTCAGAACAACTAACTGTATATTTGTTATTTAACAAAAATCCAGTGATATACAAAAATACATTTACATATGAAAATTTTGACAAATCTTTTGGCCGTTTTGAACAACAATTTTAGCCATTTTAGTTTACACCTATTTTGACCATACATCATTAAAAAGACGTTGAATGTTGCAAAATGTGAAAATACTGAACAGAACTGAACCATTTTTGGACTGGTTTTAGAGATTCAACTTACACAAAATTTCAATTTGCATGGGATCAAAATCTCAAAGTGACTATCACAGACTTTTGAAATGACATCATCAGTGTTGAAACAGTGATTTTTCTCCCTATAGTATCATAGTATAGTCAAAATTCCAAAACATCAATTCATGTATTTTACATCAAGATATGGTCAAATCTATAATTATTTATTTACCCATTGTTCTATTTACCACAGATCTAGTTTCATTTTTTATTCTCAAAAATAAATATATTATGAAAATAACTCCTACCTTGCCATCTTCTATAACTAATATACGATCACATGATAATACTGTGTTTAATCTATGTGCTATAGTTAGCATTGTACAATCAGCAAACGCTTCTTTTATAGTTGTTTGTATTAAAGCATCTTTCTCTGTATCAATAGCAGCTGTAGCTTCATCTAATATTAATATCTAAAAAAAAAACGTTCACAATTATCAGGCTAAATAAAAAAAATTCAAAAATTCTAGTTCTCTGATCCTACATCATTAATAAAAATGGGCTACCGGACCAACTGATATTTAAAAACAATATAAACCATTCTCATTAATTACTGCACATTCATACTATATCTTAGGGCAGAAATATTATGGCCAAATCTTGTCTCAAATATAGTTTGATGTCTAATCATTATAAACAAAATATAGTTAGTCAATTCAACTGCATATCAAATTAATCACATAATTTTCAGTTCTTTCAACAATTCGTCTATCAACTGCTGTGAATAAGTGGATATATATCCTGTGCCAAGTCCAATAGAATGTGCCTTATCAAGAAATGTCATGATACACCCAATAAATTATTGTACTGCTGTATAAAAATATTACATAAATTATATTTGTATACACGGATGTCCATACAACAAAAGGTAAAATGTGCGCTTTCTTTCTGTTACTTCTTTACAATGAGATCGTTCATTTTCAATAACATAACAATATAAAATCATGATTAATATTAATGTTTGTTTCTCATATATGTTTTACATATTTGTGTTAATAAATATTTGCTGAAAACATTGGATTTTCTTAATGTTAACAGGATCCTTTCACTTTGGCACTCTGGTTTGTTCCCCAAATATACAATCTGGAGGCTAAATTGACCCTAACTTAATCTCAATAAAAGTGGCATCACACACCGGGTGTGAATTACTGTGAATTTATGTAAAAGCATACAGAACATTTCAATTAGACTATATATCTATATATTAACATGTATATATGACCACTGGATATTATTCTTATTTTATCTAAGTGAATATAGCAGGAAAATTTAAATGATGAATTCTAGAAATGTTCATTACATACTTTACTGTGTCTAAGAAGAGCTCTAGCCATACACATTAACTGTCTTTCTCCCACAGAAAAATTTTCTCCATTTTCTATCACCATAGCATCTAATTGTTGGTCTAAATTTACTATCTGAAATCAAGATCATCAAGCCAATAATTATTTTAGTTATTCCATCCATTTGAATTTTACAAGCTCGCAATATACAGCACCCCTTATTACCTCCCTTTGAATTATTTTTTTTACAAGCAGCATTTCACCGTACAAGAATTTCCCTTATCAATACCCTAATGACAGAAATACAGTGACTATTATTCAAGAACCTATAATGAGATTTCTAAAGCTCACTACGAAATGTATTCATGCACAATACAATTGCAACTAAGTTTCCAAAAGATGGATGAATGGATGGACATGCATGACAACATTATCATTATAACCACATTAAAATATTTTGGTGTGTGTGTATAAAGAAATTTATATTTTGAATTACTTCTGGACTATAAAATAAATCATTGTATGTAGAACTTAATTCCACTGGAAAAATGTATAAAAATGTTTAAACTTACTGTTTCTTTCACATGACATTTTTCTAACACTTCCCACAATTCCTTATCACTATGGTTACCAAATGGATCTAAATTGTATCTAAACGAGAAAAAACATTACGTTAAAAATTCATAAAAAGACTAGGTATTTTTGTCTTTTGGATTTCACCAATAAGCAATTTAAGGTACCTAAAATCAATATTTTTGGGGTATGGCATCTTTCATCATCAAAAACTGAATTTTCCAAAAAAGTATTCCATCCATCTAAGAAAAAATACTTTCTGCACCAACTGGGATAATGAAGATGGGCATACAGTGTGCTAGAAGGAAAAGTTTGACTTGACAGTGCTACAAACTATTCTAATATCCAATTCCAACTGTCAAGGGATCTTTTACGTGCATGCCAACCTGTACACAGGACCTCAGGTTTTTTGTCCCATCCAAGCGACTAGACACTGTCCTTGCTGGATGGCATTACTGAGAAGGCAGAACCTCGCTGGAGATCTTGGAGAACTTTCTCAGTCAACAGTGAGATCACACCCCGGACTTGGTTAATGACCCAGCGCTTTACTCACCAAGCCACCCTAAAGAATAAATGAATAATGTTTAATTAAGAGAAAGATATGCATACCTTATTGTACCCACAAATAAAACTGGGTCTTGAGGAATAATTGACAAGCGGGATCTTAAAATCTCCAGACTAACTTTACTAATATCAAATGAATCAATAATAATTGAGCCTGATGCTGCTTCTACTAGGCGAAATAAAACCATACCAAGAGAAGATTTACCTAGAAATAAAAACATTTAATTTCCGTAAACTCAATATGAAGTCCAAGAATCAAGATGAAGAGAGCAAAGTGTGATTATGTTTTTATTTACATAACACATGTTTAAAGCAAAACTGGAAACGTAAATAGAGCAGATAGATGGAGAGAAATATGATTTAAAGTTCTAATACCAATCTTGCATTTTTTGGACAATTTCAAAATTTCATGGCTTAATCAATACAAATATGCATTCATATTGATTGTTTAACATTTAATTAAGAAAATAAAACCAAAAAATCAACATTAGATAATCTCCCCGACTGAATTCAATCAGATAAAGAGGAAAATGAAATGAAATGAAAAGAAATGGAGTTTAACGTCCTACTGTTCTGCTCCTATACTGGGCTAAGGAAGACGGGCATACGCCATACAGTGTGCTATGAGGGAAATTTTTCCCCAGCAGCAGCACTATCACCTTCTCTTATATCGAATTCCAACTTCCAAGTGATCTTTTACGTGCATTCCAATGTTTACACTGTACCTCGGTTTTTCGTATCATCCGAAGGACTAGACAGCTGTCCTTCTCAGGCCTGCATCACTGACAAGGGGAAACCACGTCGGAAAATCGGGATGAACTTTCTCGGCCAATGCAGGGATCGAACACCCGACCTCCAGGCTAGCCAGCCAGCGCCTTACCCACCTAGCCACTGTGGCTCCAGATAAAGAGGGGACCCATCCACAGATTTTACTTGTTTATATTGTTTTCAGAGGGAAATATTTCAATCATATCTTTGTAAATACTGAACTGATATTCCTTTTGGATAGAGATCTTTAACATTGCAGTTTTCAAGGAATTCAAAATCTCTGAAATGATGCTCAGCAGCTTTAATGTAATTTAATACAGCCTTTTCTGTATTTAAACTGTTTACTTTGTAGTGAAAGGAAACTGTGGAATTTTTTAAAATGAAAATTTTTAAGCACAATTAAATATTAGATTCAATTGTCAAGCAACTTGAACCAAACACAATTATATGGATAATAATATAATTCTAGATCAAAAAATGTATCAAAGTTCTTACCAGAGCCTGATCGTCCGACAATTCCTATCTTTTCCTGAGGTTTAACATCAAAAGTTATACCCTTTAGCGCCAGTGGTAAACCCTCTCTATATCGCATCCTAAGACGGTTAAAAGATATCTGACCATATTTCGGCCAATCGCTGGATGGTTGTTTATCGCTGATATTAGCAGTAGTCTCTGTAACTTGATTCTAAATATAAAAATTATATATAATAATTACAAATAATAATTATATTACAATCAAATAATAATTATATTACAATCAAATAATAATTATATTACAATCAAATAATAATTATATTACAATCAAATAATAATTATATTAATTATATCACAATTAAATAATAGTTTTATAACAATCAAATAATAATGATATAGCAATCAAATAGCAGTTAAATTACAATCAAAAGATTTGACACAAACTAGGTCATTTCGGGACTAATATATAGCACAATTTTATTTCTATTATTTGAGGGGGGTTGGATGTCCGAATAACGTGTCATTGAGTCAACTGGCGTGGTTTCGATTCCACTGTGTACGTGACAAGGAGTAGGGTCACCTGTTCAACTTCAAGGGTTTTCTACAGGTCCTCCGGTTTAATCCCACTGCTAAAGACCCCTTTGAGCAAGCAAATTATTGAAATGAAATTGAACCATATGTTAGTCCTGAAATGACCTAGTTTGTGTCGAGTGGATTAAACCCCATCTCTCTCTCTCTCCATCTCTCTCTCTCTCATTTGATAGCACAGTGGTGTTAATAGGTTAGAGGAAACCAGAGGACCCAGAGAAAACCCACTCCACATTACGTATGTACAAGCTTGGGATCGAAACCATACGATTTAAATCAATGACAGACATTCTGAACTAAAGCGAATGAGTTACACCCAACCACCCAATTACAATTATATAATAATTATACGACAATCAATCAAATAATAGTTTACTACTTGAAAATCACAATTTGGGATTTAACATAATTATCATAATGTTACTCAACAGACTACCTCGTTCTTCAATTCAGGGACAGAAAGTTGTACATAGAAGACATTTAATTTTTACCTGTGAATAATCTAAGATTCTTTGAACTGATGTAAAACGAGATTCTGTATCAACAGCTAACCTAATAGTAAACTGAAACAATCCAGTCATCTGAAATATAATATCATTGATCAATTACTTTTTAAAACTCTTGGGCCAAGAAAAAAAAAATACCTGTCTTTATTGTTACTTATATTGGCCCCAATGGCAATCGAGTTGGTCGGTCGGAAAATAGTTTTATTTATTTTTTTTCGTGGGGATTGTATTATCTTTATCCTAGCATTTCTAGGTCAATTACTTAGTAGGGTTCCTGAAAATAATAGCGAAATTTCAATGTTTTGGAATTGTTTACAGAAAACCATACCTGGACGGAGTTACAGTTACAGGGTCTGGAAAATGACAAAATAAAGTATAGGGTTGGTCAGGTAACGATGAACACAAACAAGGTGATTTATTCTGCCCTCTTCCCTTTCCCAATATTTATCAGTTTGATTCCCTCCTACATTTTGGATTGTCAGCACCGTTTTTGTGTACATGTGGGCTGCACTAATTATGTTCTTAAATAATTGTACTTACCTGCACAGCAAATGAAAGTGCTAAACCAGCCATAGCAGGTGTCATGCTATCAAATGTTAATATAATAAGGAGACCTGTTAAGGCGTTGACAGACATCGTAATAAGATCTAATCGTAATGCCAACCAACGATTAGAAAGATAAAATATCAAATACGGCACAGAATTTAAATCTAATAGTTTACGAAATCTGAAATATAAAATACATAGTATAAAATTTCAAAAACAGAACAAAGCATTTATTTTTCTACGTCGAGTATGGATGCGGCAGAAAAAACAAAATACGATCACATTAAAATTTGTGAACTGTTATTTTTTTGTCAGTAGTTCTAAAGATAGCAGTAAGTTTGTAAAGTTCATGATAAAAGTATCTTTAAAGCAAATTAACGATATTTTTCTATCATATATACAATTTTGATGATTCCAATGACTAACTGAAAGTGTCTGAACTGCATTTGAGGGGTTGTTATTGAATATTAGGCATCTTCTGCAGGCGACAAAAATTGGATATGGCCAATACAGCCAATATTCCCAATAGTTAAACTAACCAAAAATCTGGTAAAATTTTATCTAAATATATATCACTGGATTCTTATTAAATTTAATTGATTGTTTTGAATTTCTTTAATGGCTGTTATGAACTATTTATGGTCATTTTCACTGAAATTTATGTATGTTTTGCCCAAATTTTTGATTCGTTCTGGCTTAAGACTGTTTTGTCTACAACTCATTTTAAACAAGCCGGCACCATTCAATTGAATCCAAACTGAAAGATTATCTACCATTGATATTTTGATTTTGTTTTCTTAATGAAATAATCAATTTGAGTAGATTTTATCATGGACTAAGCTGTGGAAGATTTGATATTTCCCTGAAACAGAAAATAGGCTGAGGAAGAAATACTGAACTTACTTTTTTAAAAATTCTTCATCTTTATTATAGGCTTTTATTGTCATTATTCCTTGAATAGTAGCAGTTAAATGGCTGATTAATGGGGAACGTGTTATACTGTCTTCTCTTTTTAATTCACGCACACACTTTACAAACAATTTATATAAAAACACAAAAAATGCACCTAAGGGTACCAAGGCTAATAAAAACCAGGGTGAAACAAAGGCTATCATTCCCAGCGAGAATATTATAGATAAAATATTGTTCATAAATACTTCAGCACTCATTGGTAGACGAATATCAACTGAAATAGACAAGATTTAAATGTGTAGTTTTTTAATTGATAAAGAAATAATACTTTGAAAATCTGGATTCTCAGTGTGGAATTAATGAACCTTATATTCCATGGATTCACTTAAAGATAGCTTCCCACGTAAAAACTGGGTGATTTGGTGATATATTTGGACTAAAAACATATTCAAACTTTTGCTTCAGATTTTTCTCACATGTGTCGGCTCGCATCAATGCGATTACAATGTCCGACAATGGAGAAACCACAAGGTAAACAGGTAGATTAAAATTATAATCACTCTTATTGGATTGATGAATAGTCCGACATAGGGCAAGCAATGACTTCTGTTTAAGATTCGATCGATGAATTGTTCTACAAAGGATTAAGTAAGTCAATCAAGGCAGATAAAGTAGTTGATCAAGGTAGGTGTATAGACGATAAATACGTTGATCACTTAATTACCTAATCAATGCAGTGGTAGTCATACACTCAGTACACTATATTAGTTTTGGAATTTTGAATATTATTCACCATGTCTTGATGTCCGATTGGGCATATTCATTCCTGGTCCAACAATTTAGGACGTCTCAAAAATAGCATTGGACGAAATCCCATCACTGAGACTGAGAAATATTTAATAATAATTAATTTAAGAGTGTTGACTGGAAGGCTGGAATTATCGACACTGTCATATTTGAAATATTTAATTAACATAGAAAGAAAATAATAGATTAAAATGAATGTTGACTCACTTTCATCCATATCAGCTGAGAATCGGTTTATTATTCTTCCAACTGGAGTTGTATCAAAAAATGACATAGGGCAGGAAAAAATCTTTAAAAATACATTATCATGGAGTTTACTGGAAGCTTTCAATGTTACCTATTAAAAAGGAAAGAAAACTCAAGTCACAAAAAAACAAATATATTGAAAATAATAATATTCATAAAACACCTGGTACATATTTGAGGTGGATGTTGTCATGGAAGCACCATAGATTTGTGATGTTTTTTTCGTGTATCTAAATTTCACTTGTGTGCTGATATTTGAGCCAGAAATAGAGAAAGAATTATTTGAAATACAGTTTGTTTATCAAACACCAGATTATGAGCGGAGGGGGATTAAAGGTGAGACGAGGTCGTTCATATTATATTTATTCTTGAATCTGTTTTCTCACAGGTTATATTTTTAACGAAACATGGCACCAAATCCAAAATAGGAATTAACATCAATGCCATTTTTTCTGCTCCATGGCATACAGAGGTTGCATAAAACTCAACTTAATTTCCAAATAATTTAAACTAAATGTCCATAAAATTTTTCATGCAAATTCTCAAAGTACTCATGGACAGTTCTACCCTCTAAAGTTAGCATTCATCGATTTGAAATTTTTCAAAATAAAAGTACATTCGAATTTGTATGGTCTTAACTAAAAATTAAGGTACTTACCTTCATAAAGATAAACGTTCTAAAAGCTAATAAGGCAGCCATGACTATAATAAACATACTATATATGATCATATACATATCTTTCTTAGGATGATCTGTAATATTCTTACTGATCATAGTTACATTACCAACAGTTACAGTCGTATTCTGAAATAAAATTAAACACATTTAACATATATTTATTTTGTATCTTTGAAACTTATTTCTAACTGGTCTAATTGTTGGAGAAAAAACAAAGTCTAAAGTAAAGTGACAATGATATCTGTAGTGACAATAATCATGTCATGTAAAAAAATATTCTGGTTCTCAGATACTGACATGTCAGTTAAAAAGGGTTGCATGACTTGTTCTTATTTTAAAAAATAACAGAAAATAAAAACATTCTCATTGGTTACCATGCCTTCATATCTGACATTAAAGGTTGATAACTCAATTAAAAGTTTACAGTTGAAATTGGAAGAATCCAGTAGGTCAGTTAGAAATGTATGTGCCAAGAGTTAATTTATGATATTTTGTTATCTTTAATTATAATTAAATAATTATTTTTTTTTACTGTATATTCTATTTTTTTTTTTACACTGTGTGTATAATCATATATTTATGTTATACAAGCACCACCGAGCAGCTTTACAAGCTTGCTTATGGTGCTATAAACAAGTTCCATGAATTACTATTATCATTATGCTTGAGACAACAAAGTGTTCTCGGTTGTTTGGATATGTTCTGCAAATGTTGGTTAAACAAGCCAACAGTGAGGCTGGTGTCCCCGCCGAAATCCCAAAATAAATAGATGACACATCTAATTAATCGCACATTTATTTTTTTCTATAAGTATCGAGCAATCAAACTACACACTAAGTTTCACCACTCTCTATCAGATAGAATCAATCGCACAATCGAACTTTGTCAAGGTAATGATATAATGAATCTATATTCAGAGTTTCATCGCTCTCACTTCATTATAACTAAAGTTATCGTGCCCCTAAAGCATCAACCAATCAGATTGCTTATCTCTGCCTAACGTTAAGCAGACAATGTTCATAATCGAACTCCATCAAGGGATTCACCTAATGAATGCCTACACCAAGTTTGAACATTCTACCTCAATTAGAAGGAGAGTTATTTTGTTCCAAAGTCTCGACCAATCAAATTGCTTATCGCTCTGTTTACCCTCAGCAGAAAATGTTCATTATCGAACTTAGTCAAGGTATTGATGTAATAAAGCTATACACCAAGTGTCCTCACTCTCACTTAATTAGAACTAAAGTTATTGTGTCCCAAAGCATCAACCAATCAAATTTTTTATCTCCGCTTACCCTAAGCAGAAAATGCACATCTTCGAACTCCATCAAGGTATTGACCTAAAAAACACCTACACCAAGTTTGAACATTCTAGCTCAATTAGAAAGAGAGTTATTGTGTCCCAAAAAGTGTGACGGACAGACAGACAGACAGACGAACCCATTTTATTAGTCCCCTGCTTTCTTCAAAAGGCTGGGACAAAAATCAAGAGAGAGAGAGAGAGAGAGAGAGAGAGAATGGTATATTAAATGTCTACTCGATACAACTAGATCATTTCCAGACTAGAGTGAGAGAGAGAGAGAGAGAGAAATGGGGTTTAACATCCACTCGACACAAACTAGTTCATTTCGGGACCAACATGTTTTTGGTTGTTTTTTTTTTCCCATAATTCGCTTGGGCGTAGGGGTCTTTAGCAGTGGGAGGAAACCGGAGGACCCAGAGAAAACCCACAAGGTTATCACATACAACCGGGGATTCGAAACCACGCCAGTTAACTCAATGACAAGCCTTATGATACAGCGCACATATGCTAACCATTCGGCCATCCAACCCCCCCATTTCGAGATTAACATACGGTTCAATTTTATTTCAATAATTTGTTTATGCGGAGGAGTCTTTAGGCAGCTGACCCTTCTCTTTGTCACATAGAAGATGGGAATCGAAACCACACAATTTGACTCAATGACGGATCTTATGATCTGAAGTGTACACATTAGACAAATCAACCATCCAACCCTCCTAATAAATTAAGAGAAAAAAGTTATACTGTTAACTCACCCCTGAGCCCTGGTTTAACCAATATGATAAATACCAGTTAGTAAGAGCAGTTGACATAACTGATCCCACAAAGATTAAAAATACCAGAAAACAAAGGATATATCCACCCATTGCTCGAAAATATTCTGTAAATACCGACCAGTTAACACTTCCTATATCAGACTCCTCTGTCATTATAAGTTTACCATCTAAAAGTTAAATAAAGTCAACTAAAATATCAACAACATCAAATTAAGATTCATCTAATACAGAAGAATCTGCATTAAGCAGCCACCCAAGGGAATTTTCACGACTGACCGCTTAACAGGTGTGGCCTCTTAATAAAATCTCGGTGCTTTTTGTGCTGACATAAATTAAATATTACGCTTGGATGCATTGGAAGCGAACATCAATACTTGCATCGGTAAATTTGACCGTCGCTGAATCTTGCACCGAACGAAAATTCTTTACTCAAGTCTCGCACATAACTTCTTTAAACTTGTCATTTTGTACCGACCTTCGATACTACTGTCTACCATTGTGATGCATTCGATAATATTTATCCATTTTTGTGAAGAAAATCGATGAATTAATTTTATTTTATCAAAAAAGAACGTGAACAAAAAAACATCGCTGATTTTATTACCTATTTACAGGGGGTGTAACTCTGTATGTAATATTATAGGAGGCGCTAAATTGTCTGTTTAACAACAAAGTGGCAATGGAACAGAGATACTAGATGATCGTGACAAAACTCGGTACTTTTATTTTATTCAGTCAGTATCAAATAATGTGTCATTTCGCGTGAAAACAATGATCAGGTTAGTCGTTTAATAAAACAAAAGATTAATTAACAGATTGATTGTTATTTTTACATTTCTTTTTACCTGATCAGTGGGGGTCCAGTTAATTAACTACTACTCACAGGATTAGCCGGGGTTTTACAAAGAACGACAAGATGGTGTCATTCAACAATGGCCGTTGAATGGGCTATGTTTTGGTGAATTTATTAGTAAAATAGTTAGAGGAGTGACCGTTGAATAAAGAGATGAAACAATAGAATTATTACGGGGGGAATTTATCGTGACCTCTTACAAGGAAATGTCGCTGAATAGGAGTGGCTGCTCATACAGATTCTACTGTACATTTATATATTTTGCTCTAATTCAAATTAAATAATTCAATTATCCCATTATAAAAGACAACACCCATGGGTCTAAAAAATCATATCCACGGTAAAGGAGCTGGCCTAGTTACCTTTAAGAGAATAAAACAGCCTACTCTTCTTTGGATTTCCAACTTTTAAGGGTTATTTTATGTGTACACAGGATCTCATTTTTTCGTACCATCCAAACGACTAGACTCTGTCCTTGACAGGCCCTACACGTCATGCACCACTGACGTAGGGAAACACGGGGAGTGAATGCGTCATATCCTGGTTAGCGAGGAAGCGTCTTACACACTAAGTCACCTCAGCTCCCTTTGTCAACTACCTTAAGACTGGAAGAGTATATCAAGACATACCATCATCAATTTCACTAGTGACAGACATTGCACTGAACTGTCTTTCTAACTTTTTCCCATTTTGTACACCATCTTCAGCTTGAGATACAGTAGACATTGTCCTTTGTAGTACTAATGGTGGCATGTTGGAATCGTGATTCATATCTTTAGAAACAGATACCAAACGGGCTGAAAAAAAAAAGGATAACAGAATTAAAATTCCAGTCAGCAACGTTACCTTTTAATATTTTTATGTCTCCAAGCTAATCTGGGTTATTTGATTAAGCCACTCATCTTTACGAGTTAATCTGTGTTGGATTATTTATGTTTATAATGTGATATGTATAACTTGGTGCCAGTGCTATTATAGACCATGTGTGAGGTAAACTGAATCTATATCAATGGCTATTATACACGTCCTGCTTCCTGTATTGTCTATCAGCTCTAATCCGTATTCTGAAAAATGTCAGAATATTTTAAAATGATAATATAAAGATTGCTTACGTCTGATATCACCATTGATTTCTATTTCAATTTGTTCATCTAGTTTATCTAGTTCGCCTGTCTGTTCAGTGTTAAATAGATTAACTAGGCTATAGTATTCTCCTTCAGCTGTCATTAGATCCTCATGTTTACCAATTCCAGCTATCTGACCATCACGTAGATATATGACTTCATCACATTCTGGTAAATACTGAAATACAAATAAACAATAATATCAAAAAATCAAAACTGGTGCTCAAATACTACTGCTTCACTTAAAAGAACTGCATAAATTGTTTTTATTTTTAAAAAACAAAAACTGAGAACCCAAATATTTTTCATTGTATGGCCTATAATTTTTGATAATTTATGAGTTGCAAACAAAATTGCAACATAATCAACCATGATTAACATGTTTTAGCTTCTGGTGATTGGTGGAGACATTTTCGTTTTCAGTTGTTTTATGGGTTTTCTACATGAGAGGCTATTCTCCAAAATGACCTAGTTTGTGTCGAGTGGACGTTAAACCCCATTTCTCTCTCTCTCTCCTCTTGCTATTGCTATTTCTGACAAAAAACTGTCCATTTTTATTGCAAATCAGAACTGTAAAATACTTCTGAATATGAACTTGATTCTCATTCATCAAGGAGCAGAAATCACAACATAATTCTAATCATTAACCTAGTAATGTGTATACAAATATGCTTTTTTCAATGCATGTAGATTTTCCCTTACATAAGGTAAGTTGGCTATGTACATACATGTATGTATAAATGCTAATTTATGAACAGCCCAGTATCTATGATTAAGCAAGAAGTTACGGGCATTGAGAGAGAGAGAGAAATGGGGTTTAACGTCCACTCGACACAAACTAGGTCATATAGCAGGGGTCTTTATCAGTGGGAGGAAACCGGAGGACCCAAAGAAAATCCACAAGGTTGGACAGGCGACCCTTCTGCTTGTCACATACAACCGGGGAATCGAAACCATGCCAGTTGACTCAATGACAGACTTTATGGTACAGTGCGCACGTGCAAACCATTCAGCCATCCAACCCCCCTACAGGCATTGAAGTAATCATATTAGCAAACACATTACTAGACTAAGAGGTAGAATAATGCCTTGTATTCTGCTCCATACACCTCCACTATAATACAACATCTAATCAAATAAATCTAACCTGTAACTGATGTGTAACAAAGACAACTGTTTTATTTTTTAGTAGTTTTTGTAGACATTGAGTAAAAATATGTTGACCAACATGTATATCTACAGCTGAGAGTGGATCATCTAATAATATTATATCTTTCTCACTATAAACAGCTCTAGCTAAACTTATTCTCTGCTTCTGTCCACCACTCAAATTCATACCACGTTCTCCAATCTATAAAATTATTATAAACATTATTCATCAGTTATTCATTTAGAAAAGAGAAATTGCTAAATATATTATAAGAGGAAATATTTTTCTGGTCAAAACAATCAACTTAACATGTATTTTGTGAACAAAATAAAAAAAAACAACCCATAATTGGGTATGGCTAATATATAATTTATCAAGTTAGAATAGTGTGATACTTCTACATTTGCTAATTATGAGCTGTAACCTTTGACCTTATGGTTCAGCCCATGCCACCATACTTTTCAAAGCTACTGGTTGACAGGAAGGATTTCTTTAGGTTTTTTTTATTATGAGCTTACTACATTTATACAGTTCATACATTTATTTTTCTGGGTAAAACGTACATACAAAAACGATTTAATGACTAATTAAAGTTACAATTTCATATTTTCTAAGAAAGTCAAAACATAATTATTTCTATGTCTTTTGCGCAATAGGTTGTCAACTCACTATTATACGATCATAGGCTTTCTTTCTCACACTTAAACATCTTCACACCGGAAATAATAACACAATTACCTTCCAATTACCTCCCTTGTTTTCCTATTCCCCACCATGGAATAGCTATCTTCAAACGTTTGAATTTGAAGTTGAAAATGATATTTTTGCCAATTTCTCAACTGGCAATAGTGAATTATAGGATTAATAGGATTATTCTTTAACAAGGTAGGACTGTTTATAGATACCATTTATTTTAGGGCTTTATTTTAATACATTTTAAAAATATAACTTAAAAATATGAAATTGTAACTTTAACTTTGGGGGATTGGACAGAAATGGAATTTAACGTCTCATAAAGACAATACTATGGTCTCTGTGCAATGCTAGAAAGGAGAATTCTGAAAATGACTGCAGAGATTCCATCAACTCCTCTTCATCAAATTTCAAGAGTGAAGGGTTCTTTTACGTGCACTCAACTGTGAACACGAGTGGATCTCAGTATTTGTGGAAAAATATATTTAAAGACCTTAGCTCAATTACTAAACATCAGGTGAAATGGTTTTAAGGGTGAGGATGGACGAGAATGTTCTACACCCTGCCAACACACCAGACTTACCTCTGTCATATCACCAGATACAAAGGAATCAAAATCATCCTTTAAACAACAAGCTGATACAACTTCATCATATCTGTAATATAAATAATAACTTCATTATATCTATAATACAAATCATAACACAGATAATAATCAAGCTAATGAAGACAGATATAAAGTGCTGCCATTAGTGTAAACAGGACGTACCTCAGTTTTTGTTCAATCCAAACGACTGGACGCTCGCTTATCCTTAGCAACGCCTCTGTCCTACAGGTAAGAGGATGCAAGGCTTGAAAATTCTGAAGAATTTTCTCGGCTAACACTGGGATTGAAGCCGAAACCTCCTGGTTTGTGAGCCATCACCTTTTTCTCAAAGCCTCACCAGTATATTGAGTTGTGCCCCTTTTACTTTAAAACATGACACGCTTCAGTCTGTTTACAGTCATATGTGTTGTTTTAATGATCAAAAGTGAGACAATATAGTAATATATTGATGTATCAATATATAGGTACAATCCTACACATGCATTTCAATGAAATTGTCACACAACGGAAAGTTTCATCTGGTATAAAATTATATACGAATTGCAAGCAGCCCATACCATTATTCAAAATAATGGTACACCAGCATCAAACATTATTTTGTTTACATGTAAGATTATTAAAAGTAATGAAATATATACATACTTGTCTTTATCATAAGGAAAACCAAACAAGATATTTTCACGGGCTGTAGAATTCATAATCCATGCCTGTTGTGGTACATATGCTATACTTCCTTTAACAGCTACAGTTCCAGATACTATATCCATCTATAATACATACAATAAACTCAAATATAATTAGAAAATAATAGATAATAACGCCACACAAAAAACAAATTCTGGTTCTCAGAAAATACTTAAAAATAAAATTGATGCAGGAGAGTGTTTTATGTTTTATTTTGTCAAGAACTAGCTTGTTTTTCATTTTTTTAAGAGACACACAAAATCATTATAAATTTAATAAGAAATAAGAAAAACAGAAAATAAGTAGGAATTTAAATAACTGCCGAATAATTCTGTGACTTGATCTATCTATATCAACTTCTGTGGAAATGTTTTCAAATCCACCCGGTTTATATTTTGGCGGTTTCGATACCGTACTCATTGTTAAAGCAGGGATTTTGCTGGCTATTTAAATCAATCTCTCCGCAGAGAATATTTTTGGTCATCTCTCTCACAGTCATATTTCTTGGGAAAGATAAGGCATTTTTATCGTTTGTCAATAGTGTTTCCCATGATTACGTACTTGATGGTCGAGGCTAGTGTTCATTTCCTGTTATGAAGAAACTTTCAATAAAGTTACTTCCCTTTATCGCAGGAAATATGAATGAGCGGAAATTATTGACTTTGTTTTTATTCTTATTAAAATAAAAACATGTGACGCAGTCCATTATTAAAGAGTCGGTGATATCTGAGAGCCAAAATATTTTTTTTTGTGTGGCCTAATAATAATTTATTTACGGACCACATATAAACTTATTCAAAAGTTATTGGGACAGTATGAAAATGTCACATATATTTAATTGGATTATATCAATCAAGACTATAATTCTTTCAAACAACCAGCCCACTTCTTCTAAGCAACTTATTGAAAATTTATATGAAATGACCAGGGAATTTATCTAATACTTACACGATTTAGTATAGCCGAAATAAAAGATGATTTACCACATCCAACACTACCACAAATACCAACTGTTTTACCCTGTAAAAATCATAGATTACTTTCTTATCAATTATTGTCAGATTACAAAACACATCTTTGGGGGTCAGAAGTAATATCAGATAGGCAGAAGCAACATTAACAATTTACATGTGTTAGATGTATTAACAAATCACTTAGGACAGATGTTAAATTCAGCTTATATACAAGCATATGAGCTCTTGTTTAAGTTTAGTTCTTTTCAGAAATAACAGACCATTATTTTTTTGTGTATGCTTTAAAATGATTTCTCTAAAACATATATTTCGAAAATCAAATGTTCATATATCTACCTTCTTTAGAGTAAATGTAATATCTTGTAGAATATTTTCTTGTTGACTGTCTGAAGTTAGTCTTGTTTCTTCTAATGGGAAATTAATCTTAACACAACTTCCATTTGGTTCCATGACTAAAAACAAGTAACATAAATAACAATATTTTCATCCAATCATTTTCAATACATTAATTCTGACTATTCTATGAATGATTCGAGAGAGAGAGAGAGAGAGAGAGAGAGAGGAAAATGGAATTCAATGTTCACTGGACAAAACTAAGTCATTTTTACTTCAATAGGGGTCTCTTAGCAGTGGGTGAAATCAGGGGTACTGCAGAAAACCCACAAGGTTGGACAGGCGACCCCACTTCTTGTCATGTACAAGTTCGGGAACAAAACACCACCAATTGACTCAATGACATGATATAAAGCCCACGGGTTAGACCACCGAACCCTCCGAATGATTCTAGTCTAGATACAAGGGGAATATGAGCTTTATAAAAAAGCTACCTACAGAACTGCCTTTATTTATGTTAACAAGCGGTTGCCATGCAAGATATGCCCACATTTTCCAAGCGATGGACAGAGATAAAGGTCACAATCAGGGGCCATAATCCAGGCAGTTAGGGTCCAATATGCGTGAATATCTACAGGAACCAAGATTTTCGGGATATAAACATATATTTTAAGCTTCATCAAAATCAGATAAATATTGTGAACTCTAAAAGTCTAGAGGGTCCACAACCTTGGTATTACATACTTTTACACTATTTGCGTACAAGGAGCGGCCATTTTGTCGGTCAGTTTCATTCCGATTTTTATGAAATTTGAACTCAACCATCATTATGGTGTAACGGTGATATATTTAAACGGTTTTGAAACATATATTTTAAGATTCACCAAAATCAGATAAATAATGTGACCTCTAGAGGGTCCACAACCTTGGTATTACATACTTTTACACTATTTGCGTACAAGTAGTGGCAATTTGGTCAAAATCGAACTCAAGCGTCATTAGGGTGTAGCGGTAATATATTCAAATGTTTTTTAAAATCAGATAAAAATTGTGACCTCTAGGTAGGGCTGTACGATATTGCAAAAAGGGAGGATATCGATATTGGCATTTTTTTCAACGATATAGTTAAATATCGCGATATTTAATAATAATGTCCCTTTGCTATTAAATAAATGAAATATAAATGCATTAAAGGTGACTACAGTGTGGGTAAGAATTGCTTTATTCATACACTTTAAACTTTGCTTTTTTTATAATATAGATTTATAAAAATGAACAAAACAACATCCTTTTTGGATAAAAATGTTTCAATGCTTTTTAACACAATAACAGGAGACATTATTTATGCCTGTACATATAATTAAATTAAATACAACCGCTGATGTTTAAAAAGCGTCTGCTTCTGACCTTGTGTAGGAAAATTCTCAAATATCACGTGCAGCGGAAGTAAGTAGATGCTGTCTTCAAGTCTTGTATTGTAAGTTCAAACAGTTTTAACAAATACTAAATGATCCGGACTATCTTCCATTCAAGCATTCAATTGGCTGCGGTATTCCTGGCCTAACAGTGACAGTAATCTATTTATAGATCGTTTTATTCTTGCTTTCAGAAATTAAGTTTCGCAGAGTTTTCTAAAAATATTCGTTTTTTAAAAATATGACAACCAGCCTGGTAATTAGCCGCGGTAGTGGGAAATTTCAGGCGTTTAGTTGGCCTAAGCTTTACATGTAGTAACAACTGACAATTTATTGTCAACTAAAAACAAAGTAAAAGTAACGCATACACGATGCAGTGAAAAACGGCGGCGGACACTGCGCAAGTGTTTTCAACATTTAACGATTCTCAAAACATTAGTTTTATTATAGTTTATTGCCGTCGGCTAATTTCCACTGCTGTATAGTGTATTTATTATCTATTTTTATGATAATTTTTTCGATATTTGAAGTTTTTGGCGATATTCGATAAACCACTATATTGACGATTTTTGGCCACATGATATCGTAGTTGGGTCTGAAAATACCATATCACGATAAATGACTATATCAAGAATATCGTACAGCCCTACCTCTAGAGGATCCACAAGATAAAAACACGATTTTTCGTACAATCCTGATCAGGAGCCATAATCCAGGAAGTTACGGTCCGATATGCGCGAATATCGAACGGAACCAAGATCTTAGGGATAGAAACATATTTCAAGTTTCATAAAAATCGGATAGAAATTGTGACCTCTAGAGGGTCCTCAACTTTGGTGTTACATACTTTTACACTATTTGCATACAAGGAGTGGCCATTTTGTCGGGAAGTTTTAGTCCGATTTTTACAACTTCAAACTCGGTCATCAGGGTGTAACGGTAATATATTTAAGTGTTTTTTAAAATTGGATAAAAATTGTGACCTCTAGAGGAACCACAAGGCAAAAAACACAATTTTTCATACAATCAGGAGCCACAATCAAGCTAAAAATGCGATTATTTTTACAATCAAGGGCCATAATCCAGAAAGTTGCGGTCCGATATGCACGAATATCGAAAGGAATTTCACTTTTAACTTTTTTCATAAAAATAACAAGAAAGAAATAGTAATTGAGACACTAAAAATATAGAATATTTAATAAAGAAATATATTAACTGTTCTATACCATACTCTTCATTGTCATTTAAAAGAGGGTTGGATACAATCGGCCATGTTAGATTGGCATTCAGAAATTCTACAGCAGAGTCTTCATGTGTTACCTCCCATTTTAAATCTTCTATTTCTTCCATGATCAATAAACTCTGAAAATGTAATGTTCTCATAAGGTAAAGATATTTCAAATCATATGTACCGGTACTGTTAATTTGTATTTGATTAAGGGTTATAACTCTTTAATTACATAATTATTAGGTAATTATCATCACAAAGCAGTAGAATGTGTCCGTAAATAAACTAAAATCATAGGATTGTACATGCAGCTTGCATTGCTGCCATGCCTATGGCCTTGAACTATTCAGCTACATGCCCTGACTCAAAAAACTGATATCATTACATACCTTAAATCGTTTTAAAGAAACTGATAATTCTGATAAAGATTTGACCGAATATGGCATCACACCTAGAGAAAATCTCATAGCATTCAATAAACTTATGTAGGTGAATGCCTGAAAATAAAAAAAACCAATGTTTAAGACGATATATAACATAGGTGGCCATTTAATGAGGTGTCCATTACAAGCTTAGTCGTCTGGACTTCTTTCTAAATTGCTGTAGTAAATTGTAGTTATTTCATAATTCCTCCTGAATCTCAATGATTTTGAAAAAAACATGGATTTGTTTTTACTTTTGTTACAAGGTTTTAATGACAAGGGTAATAACGTACAAAATAATTGATAGTGACCCTGAAATTCAATAAGATTCACGGCTAGAATTCATTATTTTAGCTAGTTAAACAGTCCCAGTAAGTTAGAGAAAACCTCATATCCATGAAAACTCTGACCTGTTGAGCGATATCTAGGTATTGTTGTCAGGAGCAATAACTTTGGGAATAATTGACCCATGTCTCTGAAACTTAGCCCAACAAATTTACACAAAAGAAAATCTCAAACACTCATCTCTGTGGAGTGGTCCCGATTACATTGATGTACAACTAAATCCAATCATTATAAACAAAAATTCTCTGGAGTGATTACAAAGTTTTTGATGCCCAAAGAGATAACAAATGAGGTTGTCACTACTTGAACGTTTGAATGAAAAAATAACTATATTTTTTATTCTTCTACACCAAAGATATTGAAAACCGAATCAATTTCAGAAACTCAGTTATCATTTTCTTGACGAATGTACAATTTTATCTAAAGGGAAATAATTTGGAAGGATCATATAGCCTAATTTAATGGAAATGAATGGAATGGAAGTTAAACATACTTGAGAGTAGGAAATTAACAAAGCTGAATATATAAAAGCACCTACCTTGGGTACAGTAAGATTAACATCTGATGCTACCATGGCGATAAAAGTGGCAACAGATGAGAAAACAGGTACCAAATATGCTACACCTGTACTAATACCCTGAACATATGCACTCTTCTCTAATATAACTCGTTCTTGACTTCGAATATCTGTAAAAATGCAATAATAATATATAATATCTCTTCTGGACATCATGAAATCTCCCAAAACTACTTAATTTTATGACCATATACTAGTTTTGTGATGATACATTCTATCTCAACTAGAAGCAGAGTTATTGTATCCCTCAAAAAGAGAGATGGACGGATGGATGGATGGACCGGCCGCCACATGAACCCACTTTACTGCCGCACAAATCCATTTTAATAGAATGGGGGAATTTGAAAGGGTCACCCAAGTAACCTTGAGGGATCATATTTTTAATAAATATCATTTAAAATATGTATTACCTGCAATTGTATTAGCAAATGGTTTCTCCCATGCATACATTTTGATTAATTTGACATATGTTAATAATTCAGTCATCATTCTAACCTGTAAAATAGTAAGATTGTATTATTTATTCCTCATTCTGAGATTTTCCTTATTTATAATTAAACTAAATACTTTAAATCCATGAAGGAGGGTGCCATGAACAAATAATTTGGAATAGTAATCAATGATAAATCTAGCAAGTCTGATAATCCACAATGTGGTCAGACATTTGTTCCACACAAAATATGATGGCCAGTATCATGGTCTATCATGTAACAAATATTCAAACATTTTTATAATTCAATTTTCTTGCAATTAGTAGATAACAATTAATAAGGTTTGGATAATGTTACGTTTGAACTGAAATACTGAATGCTATTTTTCAATTTCAATTCCTTGGATTATGAAGATTATGTAAAAACACTTATAAATATTTTCAAAAAATGATAAAAAATGTCATAATCTTTGAAATTAACATCTTGATAAAAAACCTAGCCGTCTGGCAGAATTTTGAAGGGAATGCTCCGATACGAACCCAAGAATCAATCAAGATATAGATTAAAGTTTCCAGGCTACTTACTCTTTTATCAGTTATAACAATTCCTTTTCTACGTAAATATGTTGTTATTCTAGAGATGATTCCAGTTATAGGGTAAAAGGCGAAGAATATAACACACCCAATAAGAGCCCATGGTCCTAGTAGAAATACACCATATATACTACCAGATAGTAAGGTTATCGGTGCTACGAGTATAAATGGTCCTACAGCGTTCGCTTCATATACACGCTGAGCATCATTACCCACCACATTTACTAACTGAAAATACAAATAAATTTATACATTATACGATTTTATGTTTTTCTGAAACATTCCATACAACTCCATCTCAAACCTTTTTGCTTAAATTAATTTTAGAAAGAGTGAGAGTGCATGTTGTAAACCAAATAACTGATATAGATATCCCAGCATAATGGAGAAAATTATTTAGGTTGAGTGTTATTATTTAGGTTGACATTCCCAATGGAAATCAAAATGATTGTAGGTTATACTTACTACAAGAAATTTATTCAACTTACATTACATGTACAGTACTGTATTTATTCTTGATAGTAAAAATTAATAAACTTTGCCTCCTGCTCAAGGGGAGCTATGGTGGCTCTATAATCATGGTGTTGGCTCAGGGTTTCAGGGTTCAATCCTGGGTTTCCCCTTGACAGTGGTGCACAAGCCTGTCACAGACCTTGTCAATGTTATGCAACATATATTGCAACATATAATATACCTTGTGTAATAATTTGTGCCTGACAATGACCGTGACAGGCATAGAGTCTCTATGGTGACAGGTGCCTTATGTCGATGATTGACAAGGTCTGTTACAGGTGTCTTATGTCCAGGGGCCTGTTTCACAAAATTTTAACTAAGATAAAATCCAAATTTTAGTAATTTGATTGGATAATATTAGATTGATTTTAGTGCTTAGCCAATCAAAACTGAAGTATCTACTAAAATTTGGATATTATCTTTAGTTAAAATTTCGTGAACCAGGGCTCAGGCTTGGTGGTGCAGCGTCTGGTCGTTCAGATGGTATAAATCTAAATATTTTTGAGACCAGTTCAAAAAGTATTGCTCTCTATATTCATTTATAAAATATAGACAGCTATTTATGGCCTTATAGAGCAAGGCTGTAAGTATTGCTAATACCTTAAATAGCGTTCTTAGTAATTCTACATATTTACCTCTCCTACAGTTTTATCTTTTAATCCTTTTAACCGGACAATTTTTTTAAACAATAATCCCATAAAACCATTTCTTACACGAATACCTATAAAATAAATGTAGATATCTTCAATAACTTTAATCTAAGGATCTAAAATTTCTAAATGTTATGCAGAATAGTACTGAATATTGTTAAACTAAACATCAAGACAATGTTCAAATATTTTCTAAATTTATCACTATTTTTAACTACCTTTACCACCTGGAACTATAGCTGTCTAATGCTTCAAATCAACTGACTCGTGCCGTGAATTATATACTAGTTTTGTGATGCAGGTCGTTTGAGGCAGTATACAGAGCAGTAGATTTGGGCAGTTTCAAAAATGAGCAGTCTATAGGGAGCAGTAGGTTTGGGAAGTTTAAAAAATGAGCAGTCTAGAGAGCAGTAAATTTTGGGCAGTTTCATAAATGAGCAGAAGATTTGGGCTGTTTCATAAATGAGCAGTTTAGGCAGTAGTAGACGTGGGCAGTGTAGAAAATAAAAAGATTGAGATTTTTATTCCAAATATTGTATTTGTATTCAATTTCAAAATCTTATACCATAATGACAGCAACTTTCAAATCCTAGTGAAATTCTTTTTATTTTTTTAAATAACATGAAGAAAATCAGCAGATACGAAAAATCAAACAAACTGCTTTATTGAAAATAGTAATAGATGTCTTCCTTCAAATCAAATTAAATTTCACCCAGCCGTTCTTTCTAACAAAATAATTACTTGCATTACTAAACAAGAAATTCTATTATACTGATAAACTGAATTGTATTGTATTTCACCCAAATAATTATTATAGCTTACATTTACAAACTTTTCTCACGGCGAAGTCAGTGAAGCTCAACGAACATACACAATGTCATTCTCAATATATTCTGTTGACTCTGCAATTTTTAACTTCGTTTTTTTGCTCTCTCCTTATATTTATCTGGCTTTATCCAGGTATAAATCTATTTTATACACAAATAATTTTATTTTCACAAGATTTTTCAAAGTAATCAAGGGCCATAAATCTGGCAGTAATTATCGGAAATTGCTGAAAATCAATACTCTTCTTCAGCTCATGACCTTAAACACTGTGTATAAATTTAATGTCAATCCGATATTAACTTTGACCTATAGAGTGTGCACAAGATTTTTTAGAGTGATCAAGGGCCATAACTCTGGAAGTAATCATCGGAAATCGCTGAAAATCAATAGCCTTCTTCGTCTCATGACCTTAAACACTGTGTATAAATTTAAAGACAATCGGATATTAACATTAGCCTCTAGAGCGTCCACAAGCAATTGTGGACACCGGACCGCCGGACGGGGGCGACGACAATATTCGACCACATTTCAATGTGGGCGTATAAAAAGACATGTCACTGTACCTCTTATATAGGTTATATAATAATAAAGAAATGTCACTGTACCTGTTACATAGGTAATTATCCATGTAAGAGCACCTGTTATAGATCTACCTCCTTCAAAAAATACCAAGCCCAACAAATATATATACCCTGTTGAAAACTTCACATCTCCACGGGTCAAATAATCCAAAAAATTACGTATTACTAATGCCTGAAAT